GCAAGTTATCTCTGTTATTACATCTGTGTTTTCAATTTATAACATAATATAAATGTTAATCACAGACTACATGAGCAGTTGGCAAACTGCTTTGATTTGTGGACCATGTGAATAACTGGGAAACCACCTTCATCTAAGCATCATATTTACTTTATTTTGTAGTTTGTAGCTGCCATACCAAACCAAGTACATCAAGATGAAAGTAAACACTACCCCTCAGAAGGGAGTACAGTACACTGCCCCAAGTGAGACATGGGAGGAAGAAAGCCCAGAACCATGCAAGACCGTCCCATTTGAGAATTTCTGCGGTTGTAAACAAAGACTTCGAGATCACAGAGACTGATGAAGGAAGCCCTTCGAAGAGTAATCGCAGAAAACAATTTGGATGCTATTACAAGAACAGTCAAGAGTCTGCAGCCACCTTCAATAGTCCCTACTTGAAAGACCACAATGAGAGCGTCACATGCCCATGCTTCAGCCATTTTGCGTGTCTGTTGTATGGAGCCACTGGGGACAAAGATCACACCGTCACCATCCACCTGCTGGTAGACAAAAACTGCAGCTCCGTGTATGCCAAGCCAAACATTTCAGTAAGACCCTTCTACTTGGCCATGACCAGAATGTATGTCAGACGACTGTTTTGTACAAGTTTTAATACTATGCTTATTTCTGTAATGGCTTGCAATATTGCTGCTTATACTGTTTTTTTTTCTTTTCTTTTCTTTCTCAAATAAGTGCAGCCTTGGTGAGCATGAGACTTTAAAAAAATTACAAAATCTTACTGACCCCAAACTTTTGTGTACATGTAATATTTATTTTAAATTGGCTAGTTTGTGCAAGTAAACTTATTTAAACTGGTTGTTAAAAGTTCAAATGGATTGTGTTATGTTCTGTAATTGCTGTTAATGAATCTGTCAGGAAAAAAAATATGATAAAGTTTCACCTTTAGGGGTACAACAGCCTGGCAGCCTTTTACAAAAATGAACCATAGTTTTATTAGCGTAACACCAGTTTACCACATATTTGTAGTAAAGCTGCAGTAACCACAAATTTACCATGATAATTATAATAATACATTTTAATGCATATTTTTCATGAGGTACCCTCAAAGCTACACTTTTGTAACTTATCTACCCTTAAAACATGCATACTTATATGGTACTAATATGCTTCCTTTTAGGGGTATAGTTGCACATTTGAGGTTACTGCCTCAGTAAAGGGCTAAAATACAATTATAGTATATTTTATTTCTGACAGTGTAAACAAAAAAGGCCTATGAAATGTTAAAAAACACAGCTTTAAAATCTAATATTGAGTATAATTACTGATTATATGTTCTTTTAATAATTTAAAAGATGAGTTTAGTTTAAAAGTATCGGTATCGATATCGACGATACTGGACTTGAAAATATCGAAACGAAAATAAAATAAGAGGTATCGCCCATCCCTACTCTTCATTAAAAGCTGCACTTGGATCTTTCACAAAGTCCCAGAGAATTCTGTGACAATATATAGCATTATAAATGTGTAATGTGTAAACCCTTTTTTTTTTTTTTTTAATGAACATTTGAACTTAACTAGACTTGCAACGTTGATAACTGTGTAGATGTGAAAAGGACCATTTTCAGTTAGCCGTTATTAAACTCGTGAACTAAAAAGTCGAATACCCAGAGGGTTCCCTCTCCATAATCTGACTTCAGTGACTGATATCTTCATGTGAAGTGAGTGCCCAGAATTGTATGCATTAAACTTAATATTTTTTTTCTCTTTTTTTTTTATGAGTAAATCTTTAGAACGACTGAACAATTTAAATGAGTGCATATTTTAAAAAATATATTTTTATTAGACATACAGGCGAACTACTGTGCTAGAAATCCCTCTCACTCTCTAGATCTCTTGTCCTCAAGGATCTTCGTTTTTGATTTCAAAAATGATTTTTCTTCAGTTCTATTATGGTAGCATTATAAATGTGTAATGTGTAAACCCTTTTTTTTTTTTTTATGAACATTTGAACTTAACTAGATTTGCAACGTTGATAACTGTGTAGATGTGAAAAGGACCATTTTCAGTTAGCCGTTATTAAACTCGTGAACTAAAAAGTCGAATACCCAGAGGGTTCCCTCTCCATAATCTGACTTCAGTGACTGATATCTTCATGTGAAGTGAGTGCCCAGAATTGTATGCATTAAACTTAGTATTTTTTTTTTCTCTCTTTTTTTTATGAGTAAATCTTTAGAACGACTGAACAATTTAAATGAGTGCATATTTTAAAAAATATATTTTTATTAGACATACAGGCGAACTGCTGTGCTAGAAATCCCTCTCACTCTCTAGATCTCTTGTCCTCAAGGATCTTCGTTTTTGATTTCAAAAATGATTTTTCTTCAGTTCTATTATGGGTTGGTGCTGATGCTTCTGAAACAAAACACATTTTTATGTTGAGAGAGCACAGATAAAGTTGATTGGATTTATTATTAGATCAAACATAAAATGTCATATGAAATAAGTGTCATAAAATTTCATAGAAATCTAATTTCCTTTATCCTTAATGCTGTGATATAATATCAGAAGTTACAGAACTCAAAATGATCCACTGCCAAAAAAGTGCATTTATTGTTTTCACCCTGCAAAGGTTTAACTTTACTCATTAAACTGGCAATCATGGCAAACAGTAAAGTTGCGCAAGGCTGTTGTTTACAGTGGTTATCGGGGTAGCCAGGCTATTTCTGCTTTGCTTTCCACCATTTTCCTGAGTAAATGTTAAGCGCCATTAAGGATTCTAACTTCTGTTTGGATGCTGTCCTGGGGCCTGTTCTTCGTACGTCGCTAACTCAGTTAGCTGGATTTGATAGTTGATGATTTGGCATGATCTTGGATTGTTTGGTTCTTCGTAGTTCATCCCAGACTTGCTGTCATAGCAACAGCTCCGTAAACTTAAACCTGCTCGGGAGCAGGCTTATTTAATGTAAACAGGATTAGATTGCATCTTTTTAAGCAGAATTGATACTTAAAATCTGTCCGCTACCACCGCTATTTTATTACAAGAATACCCTACTAATCCAGGGACAATAATTTAAAATAATAATAATTTAAAATTTAATTTAAAGATAATATAATAATGTTGTTTAGTCTTTAATACTACAGACACAGCCAGTTTTACTCTCTGAAAGATTTATTCATCATAAAATGATTACTTCATAATTGTATTGGAGTCTTACACACATGCTATACAGATAATGTAGAGTCGTGCATTAATTTGAGTGGTGACAGATATTATGGGAGTGGTTTGATGGAGCGCAGGAGATGCAGATAACATGATCTTGAAACTTTAATTAATGCTGTCACGTAACAAATCTGTTCAAATATAAAATTAAATGAATTGCTAATTACTACATTGAAATAAAAACGTAAAGCCTGTACAAATATTAGAAATCGTGAATATAAATAATTGGGAATCATGTAAAAAATTAAAATAAAAACAGTGCACATTTCATTTATCTATTATAACATTTATGTAGTTTTGTTCGCTTGGCTGTTTCCTTAAAGTCTAAGGCACACCTGTGCAATAATCATGCTGTCTAATCAGCATCTTGATATGCCACACCTGTGAGGTAGATGGATTATCTCGGCAAAGGAGAAGTGCTCACTAACACAGATTTAGACAGATTTGTGAACAATATTTGAGACCTTTTGTGTACATAGAAAAAGTCTTAGATCTTTGAGTTCAGCTCATGAACTCAAAACAAAAGTGTTGCGTTTATAATTTTGTTCAGTGTATATTTAAACAGATGAAACCAAGCAGACATCTCTAATCATTGCGCTTGCACGAAACCGATCTTTGGGGGATGTGTTGCGATTTGTTTCACCCGCCCCCCCCCGCTCGGATTGGCCGCTGGACGAATTGTTTCACGATGTCACGCCTCCGCTCCCCTAGTCCCATTGGCCGGCCAAGGAATTGTTTCAGGCCCCGCGCTCGGATTGGCCGTCGGACTAATTGTTTCGCGCCCGGTACCCCCTCGCCCCATTGGCTCTCGCGAATTGTTTCAGAGGCGCTCGTTGCTCCGATTGGCCGAGGCCTCGCCGCTGTCGACTCGGACATCATTCACTCTGTCAGAACCCCCTGGAATAACACTATCTTGCTGTTTTTCTCCTGCGATTTCATTAGTTTAAACCAACAAAACACAAAAGTTTTTTTTTAAACACACTTCCGCAATTCATTCTACAATTTAGCAGAATTATTATACACCAATTCTGCATTTTCGCTACACTGCAATTTTGCGGATCACGTAAGTCAACATATTTGACCCTTTCTCACGTTTTATTTGTGTCGTTTTTTTTAAATAGGCATATAATAAGCATTTTATCCATGTGCAATGCATGCAGAAGAGGCGGGAGAAAAAAATGTGGGGGGTAATACTGGGTCGTTCGGAAAGTTGTGAGGACGTTTAACCCGCCTAAAACATAGATTTCAGTAAAAAAAGCACAGTTTCATTCATGATTTTCATTGACACCGAAAAATAAATTTACTTTTTCCCCCTTTTAAATATGTGTAATGCCTGCAGAATTTTTCTGATGCGTTCGTTTGACCCTTTATTCACTTTATGTCAGTTGTAATAATCAACAACGATGAAAAGAAAACGAAATTCGTTTAAAAACAATTAAAACATTACTAAAAAGAAAAAAAACTACAAAACCCTTAATAATGTACCTTTTTCACAAGTTTTTTGTTTGTGTATGCCATGAATTACCCTTAATAATGTATAATAATGCATTTTCCATAAATATTTATTTTGTGTGTGGGGTTTTCAGTGCATTGTTTGGTATAACATCAGGTGCATTTCTTTACTGTCACAGAATGAAAAGCAAGCCCACCCTTCGTTTTGAGGCTGGAGAGCTGGTGCTGAGGGCGTCTAAGCAGGCAGCCACTGTGGAGAAAGTCCACCTTTCACAAGTGGCTGAAGGGGTGCCCTTTGTACCAAAGGACCCTGAGGCTGTGCTGGAGGAGGCCAAGGTCAGGGTAGTCCAAGGTGGAGGGTGTCCCTTTGATGACCTGCTGCTGGCAAGTCAAAGTGCCATCCAGTTTGGTCAGTACAGAGGGAAAACCTTCAAGTGGATGCTGGAGAATGACCTTGGATACTCCCTCATGGTCCTGTTTGGGCATCAGCGGGAGCGCGAGGCTGGCAGATTGGACTCTCGGCAACAGCGCCACAATGCTATATCACAAACTATGTGAACAGCATAGTGAGGACTGGATGGAGAGGACCCTGCAGTACCTGTCTGCGTGTGAACGGTTTCAGGGCACCACCACACGGCCCATCACACCTCCACCTCCGATGCCACCTGTACCAACTGCCCAGTGGCTCCTCTCTGTCCACGCAGAGGATGTCCGGTCCCGGTATAGTGAGCTTAAAGCCAGGGTCACCTCTGTCTTTGGGTCCATCCTGAAAATGGACTCCACAAAGCAGGTAACGTATTAATCACAGATTATTTTAAATAGATTTAAACCTTTGTATATGTAAGGCATGTTTGGAGCTCATTGAATTGTTTTGTTTTCCGACAACAGGTGGCCAAAAAACTGGCGGGAGCTGCAGCTGGGACCGCAACCTGGGTCACCAATGTGGGCAATGAGCACGGACAGGTCCTCATGTCTGTGCTCACCTCACATGAAGGTCAGGGACTGCTGCCCATGACCACGGGCCTGGTGAGGAGGTACGAGGCGGCTGGAGTCGCTTCCCCCACGCTCCTGTATGTGGACAGAGACTGCTGCTCTTCTGTGGGAACATCTAGAGCAGCTGCCATGTTCAGCGGCTGGAGTGATCTGGTGGTTCGTCTCGATGTGTGGCACTTCATGCGGCACTTCGCTGCCGGTCTGCACACTGACAGCCACCCGCTCTATGGTCTGTTCATGGCAAAGCTCTCTGCCTGCATTTTCGTCTGGGACGAGGGAGATGTGGCCCTGCTGAGGGAAGCGAAAAGGAGGGAGCTGGAGCAACAGCAGGGCATCAAAGGCCTCACTGAAGAGCAGCTGACCGGCAGGCTCACCTCCAGACAGCTGGCGCAGCACTGTCGCCGCTGCACACGTGGCGTGGAGGAGACAGAGCAGCTGATCAGACAGATGCTGGAGGCCTTCAAGGACGCCAGGGAAACCATGGGCATCCCCTTGATGGACCAGGAGAGGATGGACGTCATCTGGGACACTCAAAGGCGTCATCTTCCCTGCATCCAGGACCCTCCTGGAGTGCAGCTGTACACCCAGACAGGAAGTGTTACAAAGGGAGGGCTAACACTTCCTGTGTACCGCTGCGCTCGGGGGTCCACTTCCCTGGAGTCCTTCCATAACCACCTCAACCGCTTCATACCCGGTAAGATTGCACACATCCACCTCGAGGTGTGTTTTCGTGATAGTCTATTTCATGTCATTTGTCATTTTAAATTAGTGTTAATGTTTCCTTTTTTTTCATCAGGAACGAGCGCTAACCTGGAAAATTTCCAGGCTTACCTGCTTGAGGGTTTGGAGCGGTGGAACGAGGACCGCGCTGCTGCTGCCGTCACACACAATGCTCCCTTGTCGCTGCGCTGCTACAGTGGCTCACTCCAGCACAGCCTAAATGAGCTCAGCCAGCGTCTTCTTGGCTGTAGTCTTGTGCAAGACTACTCCAAGCCAGGACAGTACACAGGTATGTGTCTATAATGCCATGCTTTGTTGTTTTTTTGTAATGCACAGACTTCTGTTTTACAACCTTGTTTTCTATTTAATTTTCTTTTGACAGGCGGGCTCATCGGGGTGGAGTACCTGTGCTCGCAGCAGTCCTGGGAGTTCAGGGAGAACTTTGGGCGGGACCCAGATGTCCCAGACGGAATCCCAGCGGACTTGGGCGATATAGAAGATGAGGGATTTGGGGATGAGGCAGAGGAGCAAGACCACACCATCTCCCCTCTTTCTTTAGTCTCAACCAAGGAAGCTATATGCTTGTCTCGGGATTCACCGTCACCCTCTCAGTCCTCCCAGGACTTGCCACCTGAGCCCCAGGAAGATGTATGTATGCATACAAGCATTCTTTGCCATGCCATCACTTGGAGGACTTTTTCAGCCATACTAACTGATCTTCTTTCTTCTTGTTAGGTGTGCAGAGGACCAGATGGGACGCCAGGTTTTGACAGAGTGGTGGACTTGGCCAGATACCTTGTCACGCTGAGGGAAAAGCCTTGTGTCTCGGACAGGGAAGCCGCTGACATTGTTCGGCTGTGGGACAGACTGCCGGACAGTGACAGACAGGGTGTTTCCTATCCGCCGAGACACAAGGAGAGACTTTTGCAAGGCAGGTTCAAGGCCACCCACTCCAAAACCTCCACCTGCCATGGAAAAGAGAGCCTGAAGCGGTAAGTTAAACATTTGCACACTTTGAGCTGTAAAAATATAAATGACTATGCTTTTTATGCTTTATAATCCCCTATTTTATTTTACAGGTGTGTGCTGGGGCAGGGCTCGGGTCCTGCGCAGTGGCCGAATATTAGTAGAATTGTAGAGGCAGTATGTCTGGAGCTCTGCTCCATTCATCCAGCGGGGAAGGTGAAGTGGGGCGTTTCAATGAACCGCTGGGCTGCCATTCTACATGACTACCAGGCCATGCGGAGACTGGTGGGGAACTGCCCAGCACTGAGGGGACGGACAAGAATTCAGCTGTTTGAGGTCAATCAGCGGACGCTTTCTGTCTGGTAAGTAGTTTCATTGAAAGCCAGCTATAAAAGTAATTTTACAATTCTCGGATTATGTTCATCCTATTAATTGTGTCATTTCAAACTGGTACAACAACTACAGGAAGAAGCTGGAGGCAGATGTGCTGGCTCTGAGTGTGCCCTTACCTCAGATCAGCATGGTGTCTCACACCCAGCTTCCTGCAGCCAGGCAGATGACGTCAATCCCCTCTGCACCTGGGTCATCGCTTCAACCTTTCCCCTATGTGGAAAACCCTGATCTGTCAGGTCAGGCCACGCGACGTGGGCAGCGACCTCCTCCCCCTGCATCAGCAACACCCGCTCTCTCTGCTCCACTGGCAGCATCCCTCTCTGCTCCACTGGCAGCATCCCTCTCTGCTCCATGGCCAGCGTCTCTCTCTGCTCCACCGGCTGCTGCCCTCTCTGCTCCAGCAGCAGGAACATCAATGAGCAGAACAACTCTGTGGAGGAAGAGGAAGGCTGCAGAGTGTTTAGCTCAAGAGCAAGGGCTGCCCCGTCCCCAGCAACCTGCGCGAAAAGATTACACGTGCACTCGATGTGGGCAGCCCAGAAAAAAAGAATTTGGGCACACCAGGGTGGGCAGCTTCTACTTCTGTGCCACAGCAGAGGGAAAGACACTAGAAGAGTGGCTGCATGAGAAGAGGAATGAAGGAAATCCTTCACTGTAAATAGTTTTGTTTGTAAATATTGTACATATCTTTTGCTTATTATCTTATATCCAATATCTTATTTGTATTTAATAAAGATTGTGTAAGTAGTCCAAAATGATTGTCCTTTATTTCAAAAGGTTTATCTGCCTACATAAAGGACATATAAAGTTTCCTGAATAATTATTTATTTTAGAACACTTTATGACTTTTCTTTTTTTAGAACATTTATTTGTCGTCATAAAGGCCATGCAAACTGTCCTAAATATTTATTCTTTATTTTAGAACATTTAATGACTGTTCTTTTATTTGAGAACATTTATTTGCCCTCATAAAGGTTACATTAATAGATCAAAACCTTCAGGTTTATTTGCCTTCACAAAGGCCATGTTAATAGTCCCAAATGACTGCTTTATTTTAGAACATTTATTTGCCTTTATGAAGGTCATGTTAACTGTCTCAACCATTTATTTTATTTGTGTAGCTTTTTTAAATGATTCATTAGCATTCTAATGTTCCTATTTTTTTTTAATAAATTGCTATATACATTTTTTTAAATAAACTTTATTATAAAGATATGAACTAAGTTGTATTTATCCCCTAAATACATCTCAGTCTGTTTTTTGTTTATTTATTGAGTAGTTCACACTAGAAACAAAATATAAAAAGTATTAAATATATAATTGTGAACAAATTACTAAACACAAATATATAAATAACAGAAAAAAATAACAGCAGAATTTAAGATAATCAAAGATTTATTAAATAGTTCACACTAGAAAAAATAGGATAAAACAATAAATGTAAACTAAATGCAAATATTAAAACGGGAAAAAAATTAACAGCAGAAACAGTACAACAAAATTAACAAAGATAAATGATTTATTAAATAGTTCACACTTGAAAAAAATTAATAAAGGGTAAAAAATAAATAAATGTAAACTGAATGCAAATATTAAAACGGGGAAAAAATTAACAGCAGAAACAGTACAACAAAATTAACAAAGAAATTATTTATTAAATAGTTCACACTTGAAAAAAATAAATAAAGGGTAAAGAATAAATAAATGTACACTGAATGCAAATATTAAAACGGAAAAAAAATTAACAGCAGAAACAGTACAACAAAATTAAAGATAATAGAAAAGATTTATTAAATAGTTCACATTAGAAAAAAATTATAAAATATATGATATTAAAATAAAAATGTAAGAAACAGTATAACAAGTTAAAAAATAATTTAAAAAATTAGAAAAGAGTATAAATGTAAATAAAATACTAAATACAAATATTAAAATAAAACAAAAATCAACAGCGGAAGCAGTATAACAAAATTAACAAAGATAATAAAAGATTTATCAAATAGTTCACATTTTAAAAAATTCAAAAAATATGTACATGTAAACAAATTACTACTAATACTAATACAAATATTTTAAAAAGTCTTTAACAAAAAGTAACATTCAACAGAGGAAACTACTTAGAAACAGATTTATTTATTAAATAGTTCACAATAGAGACAATAATATACAAAATACAAAAAGAAAAAAAAACACTAAATACAAATATTTGTAAAAAAAAAATCTTTAGCAGAAAAAAAACAGCAGAAACTAAACTACTTGCAAACAGACACTCTAATAAAATTAACAAAGATAATAAAAGATTAAGATAAAGAAAACAAAATTACAGTGGCAATTATTTAGGGGGAGCAAGAGACAGACCACTGCTCTGCCAGCCAAAGTTCCACAGTCTTGCCCTCATAACTGCTGCAAAAGGATTTGAGTGTCCATAATCCTTCGTTTTTGGCTGCTGACACAGAAAAGGCCAAAGGAATGCAAACCGCTGACTTGCTCTCTGAGGCAGGCCCTGTGCAATGGCTTCCACTCTCTTCTTTTTCCTCCAGGCAGTTGTCCGAGGCACGTCGTCAACATTGTCTGCGGCTGCAACCCTCTTCTGCTCAGAAAGCCATTGAGAAACTGTCTTTCCAGCTGCGGTGGCACAGAAACGTTTTCCTCTGAAGAAACTGTGACCAAACTCCAGTCTCTTTGGCTGTCCGCACAATCTGCATGGATATCCCTTTAGATTTGCCTGCCGTGCAATGGCTTTGTTGTGCATTAGGGCCTTTTTGTCCTCTTCGGCCCTCTTCTTTCTTCTCCAGGCTGTGGCCCTTGGCACCCGTTTAAGGGCCGCATCAGCTACAGCTGATGGAGGAGGGAGCACAGCCAGCGATGCGCATGTAGGAACTGTATAAGGCAAAAATATATATATTAGACATTTGTTGCTTCTTACATGAATTTATTCTTTTAATAAATTTAGCTCTTTTTTTTTTTTCCATAAACATTTTTTGTCAAATGATTTGAGCTTGACTAATAGCTATGGAATGCTAAATAATTATTAACTATATAACGATAACTATGTCTCTTTCCTCTTGCACGGATATCTCAAAGAGTAGAGATTGTCCACCTGTGCAGCCACTCTTAACTACATATCCAAAGACACTGATGGGGGACAGGAAGAGGAGCTTCAAAGCAGAATGGTACAAGATTCATCCCTGGCTTGAGTACTCGAGAATATTAGACACAGCATATTGTTATGCCTGTTGACATTTCAGCCCTCCCAATAGCCCAGAGTCATGGAAAGACTATGAGACCGCAGTGAAAAACAACAGGACTTTGCTAAATGTCTTAAACAAAGAACACGACAAGCAGATTAAAGACAACCGGGAATATATGAAAACAATCGCTGAAGTACTACTACTAACAGCCACACAGAACATTGCACAAAGGGGACACGATGAGTCGGCAGAATTGCCAAACATGACAAAACTTGAAGAAGCAGATATCCTTGGTACTCAGGTACTATTATAGTGGAGCCATCCATGAGAGTTTTCTCCATTTTGAATCGGCTGATCAGGTAAACGCAGCTGAGCTTACTGAAAAGATTATACACATGTTAGAAAGCCATGGTCTAGAATACAGAGAACATTTAGTCGGCCAATCCTATGATGGCGTGTCCATTATGAGCGGCAAGCATGCAGGTGTACAGGCACGAATTAAAGATGTGGCAAAGCATGCCTTTTACATTCACTGTAGCGCACACTGCCTAAATTTGGTACTAGTCGACACAGTCAAAGCAATCCCTGAGGCTAACAGATTTTTCTCACTGCAGGAAAGGCTTTATGTGTTAATGTCGGGGACACATGTGCACAAAAAATGGCTTGCTGTACAAAGAGAAATGTTTGAAGGTGCTCCTAGAGAACTTCAGAGACTAAGTGATACTTGGTGGGCATGTCTTTATATTTCAATGCGTAATACTTTGGATAGATTGCCTGCCATTAAGAGAGTTCTGCAGGAGGTAGTTGAGGAACACAATGGTGACAGGTCAGTTGAAGCACAAGGTCTGCTTGCACAGTTAGACTTGAAATTCATTGTACATCTTGTTGCGCTATGTAAAATCTTTGGAGAAGCAAGACTCCTTTCAGACATGTTGCGGTCATCATCACTTGATCTTTCAAAGGATGTAGATTTAGTTCAAGCCTTGACTTCTGTACTTGAGTACAGAAATTAGTCATTTTTGATGGCCTTTGGACTGAAATAATGGATATAGCTGGAAAGTGTAACATTTCAGAACAACTAACTGAAAAAAGGCAGACACAGCTAAGTTTACAATTTAGTGGACATTGGGTAAAAAAAGGAAGAACAGAAGCCACCTTTACATGCATCTACCCTTCTCCCACCAGTTGTAGAGAGAACAAAATGCTTTCTGAGCTCAGCAGACGGTTCTCTAACCAGAACTGTAATATTATGAATGGCATTCAAGCCTTAAATCCCAAAAGTGATGCCTTTCTCAAAGAAGATGTCCTCTTTTCTTTGGGTAGAATGTATAGCTCAAATATTGAGGATTTGGGGCATGAAATACATCAGTTCAGAAGGATTCTAGACAGAAAGATAAAACAAGGTATGCAGAGGCCCTCAAGTACAGTGGAGCTGGCATCATTTATGGAACCTTATAGTGAGGTCTGTTTTGAGCTCTTTAAACTTTGCAAAATCAGTGTTGCAATTCCAATCAGTACTACTTCTTGTGAAAGGAGCTTCTCCACTCTAAAACTAGTCTAGTACAGCTTCTATGAATACATGATGTTAGAGATAGAAATAACTGGCTTTAAACCTTTTTTTGTTGGTAAAATACTAGTGGGCCAAGACGTTTGCACAGTACTGTATATGTGTCATAATTTACAGATGCAGAAAAGTGCCTAGATGGGATTTGTATGTACATATGTGTCATATAGTTTACGGATGCAGAAAAGTGCCTGTGCTTAGATAGTAAAAATGTGTTATCCTTATTGATCATTATCACACTACAATATACAAATATTTGACAATATAAATTAAACATGATGAAACATTAATTTGAGTTAAAATTGTTATACATTACTTCTAGAGATTGCAGTGATCCATTACATGGTGAAAAATGACTGAATGAATAATACTTAAAGTAGGTTCAAATTAATTTTAATAGTGTGCCCCCTAAAAGCACAAGTGGCCCCTGCCTGCCCCCCCCCCCCCCCCCCCCCCCCCCTGTTCCTGTGGTCCAGAACCGCCACTGCTCTGCCCTCTGGACTCGCAAAGCTGTGTTGTGTTGTTTTCTGGGCATTAAATGCATAATAACACTGCCCTCTGAAGGATAGTGACTCTTGAAATCAAACTGGCTGACATCTCAAATTGTGGGGTGTTACGGCTCAGTGTGTTCTTTCTAATATTTGTCCACTAGGTGGTGGTGTTCCGTGGTTTTGCCTCTCTTTCAGAGCGAGCGGCAGGTACAGGTGTGGAGTGTTACCTGTGATTGGCGTTTGGGTTTAAAAGACGGAGATTCAGAGAGCTGTGGAGACCTGGACTGGGCTGCCGTTCATTTTCCCGCTCCAGCCCTGGATTGTCTTTCTTTATACTCATATTTAACGTTTGTTTTATTTGATTTATTCTTGATTAAATGT